GGATGGATGATGGATGAGGGATGGATGAGGGATGGATGCATGGACGGTTGGATGGATGCAGAGCCACACTGACGGACGGACAGACGGACACACCGACCGCTCCTGCCCGGTGCGGGCTCAGCCGCCCGCGACCTCAGGCCCCGCCCCCCGCGCCGCCGAAGGGGCGTGGCCTTCCCGCTGCGGGGGCGCGCTCCGCGCGGGGGGCGGAGCCAGACGTGACGCCACGCGCGTCGGACCAATGGGAGCGCGGCACGGCGGGGCGGGCGCGGTCGCCATTGGCCGGCGGTGATGTCAGGGCGGCGCGGGGCGGGGCCCGGCTGGGCAGAGCGCGGGGCGGCGGAGGAGCCGCGGGTGCGCAGCGAGAGCGGAGCGAGCGGCACCGGGCGGTACCGGCACCGGCACCGCGGGGACACGGGCACTACCGGCACCGCGGGGATAGGGCCACTACCGGTACCGGCACCACGAGGATACGGGCACTACCGGTACCGTGGGGACACGGGCGGTACCGCGGGGACACGGGCGGTACCGGCACCGCGGGGACACGGCAGCGGCGCCGTGGGGACACAGCAATGGCACCGCAGGGACACGGGCAGCGGTACCGTGGGGACACGGGCGGTACCGGCACCGGGCGGTACTGGCACTGCGGAGACACGGGCAGTGGTACCGTGGGGACGCGGGCAGTACCGGCACTATGGGAACACGGTACCGGCACTATGGGGACACGGTACCCGCACCGCGGGGACACAGCAGTGGTACCGTGGGGACACGGGCGGCACCGGTACCGTGGGGACACCGGCGCTTGGCAGGGACACCGCGGGGCTCTGCGGGCGCTGCGGCAGCTCCGGCGCTGCGGCAGCGGGAGGAGCCCCGGAGGAGCCCCGGGCTCGGGGATCGTCCCGCGGGTCCCTCCCGGTGCCCGTTCCAGGGAGCGGCTCTGCCCCCGCATCCCCTCGGAGCCCCTGCGGGTGCCCAGGTTTGGGAGAGCAGCCGGGGGATGGTTGGGGGGTCCGGCCCGGGGATGGTTGGGGGGTCCGGCCCGGGGATGGTTGGGGGGGGTCCGGCCGGGGCTGAAGCTCAGCAGCTCTTGGAGCAAAGGGAGCGGGACCCCACGGAATATCGGCTTTCCCCCCCGTGTGTTTCAGGTGAAAGACGATTTCTTGGAAAACCACGTCAAACCCCAGGGTGTCCAAATGCCAGCCCCCACCCTGCAGCCTGCCCAGCTCCCTGAGTAACCTTCACTGGGGACCTGCTGTCACTCGGAGTAAGAACTGTGCTCGCCTCGTGCTGCTGGGTGAGAAATTCTTCTGGGGGAGGAGGACGGCAGTGACACTCGAAGCCTGCTGGAATCGCTGGCTGTTGTGGCAGAAAGCCCACGGGAGCCTTCAGCCTGGAATTCTGCAGGGGGACAGTGCCACTGGAGGAAGTGGCAAAGCCCTGGTAGCAAGAAGAGCCTGAGTGGGATCATCTCGAAAAGCCAGTCCTCTCTTTTGCTGTTCCTTTAAGCTTCTGTGTCCTCCACTTCACCTGGTTTTCCCTCTGCCCTGGAAAAACAGCTGGGACAAGATGCACTGAGGTGTCACACATCCAGAGAGGAAATCTTGGATCCTGCCTCAGTGGCTGCTGCCCCCACAGCACAGGAGAGGAGCAGAGCCAGAGGGAATTGCTGCCATTCCCGGCTCCTGCCCGCCCCGTGCTCGGTGTCCCCTGTCCCTGGGCGCTGCTTGATGGGGATCTCTGCTGCAGGAGCAGGCTCTGCACTCCCGGGCGGGCGAGCAGGGCTGGCACAGCTCACTCCTAGATGCTGGAAAGGCCGTGTGGATAAGCTGCTGCTGGCAGAAGATCCCTTCTGGAGCAGCTGCTGGCTGTAGGCCCAGCGAGCCAAGGGTCAGGAGAGCCTGTCCTGCAGCATGGCTTCCAAGCTGGAGCACAAGGAGACCCCCCAGGCCAACGGGGCCGTGCCCGGGGACTGCCTGGCCAGCCCGGAGCGTGCCCAGCCCTCGGATTTCCTGGGCACCGACGGCACCGGGGTGGAAGTGGTGGTGCTGGAGTCCCGTGCCAACGCCAAAGGGGTGAGGGAGGAGGATGCCCTGCTGGAGAATGGCAGCCAGAGCAACGAGAGCGATGACACCAGCACGGAGCGCGGCGCCGAGCCCGCCTCGCCCCTCAAGGAGACCTCGTTCTCCATCGGGCTGCAGGTCCTGTTCCCCTTCCTCCTGGCTGGCTTCGGCACCGTGGCTGCTGGGATGGTGCTGGACATTGTGCAGGTAGGGTTGGTGCTGTCCTGGCTCTGCTGGAATAATGGAATAATGGAATATGGAATAATGGAATAATGGAATAATGGAATATGGAATAATGGAATAATGGAATGCCAAGGCTGGTTGGGCCACGGGGAGGGAGGGAGGGAGAACAGTTCCCCCGGCTGGGGAGGGGGAGATGGGGAGCCCTCCATCACCTTGTCCCAACCCTGACTTTGGAAATTAAGCTCAGTGAATTTAAGGAGATGGGAATGGTGTGAGGAATGAAGGAAGGAAGGAGAGGATGCTGTGGGGGAGAAGTTGCAGCTGAAGCTGGGAACTGAGAGCACTCACAGCATCACAGCTGGGGAGAAATCCCCTCCCTGCTGCTGCCTGGTGACATCCCAGCCCCAGGTTCTGGCTCCTCTTGTCCTTTTCCCACCTCAGGGGCTTGCTGTGCTGTTCCAGGCTCGTGCCAGCCAGGTTAATGTTTCTCTCAGGATGTGCCAGGCTCATTCCAGAGCTTCCTGCACCACTTCCCGATGCTCTGGAAGCACCCAGGAGTGACAGGGCTGTGGAGGTGACTTTTAGGAAAGGCCAGCAGGGAGCTGGCAGTCGCCTCTGGATGGAGACCGAGGTGTTCCCTGTGGCAGGTGACGCTGTGGGAACGTGCCAGCCTGCTTGTGTTTCCATGTGGGAATGGTGCCTTTGCAAACCGAGGCTCCTGTGCTGATCCACACCACATTTCCCAAGCGTGCCTGGCAGCAGAGCAGCTTCTCCTTTGCCCTGGAAGCCAGGCTGGGCAGAGCCTCCCATCCCCGAGGCACAAAACTGGGCTCCTCCATCGCTTTGGGATGGGGATGCAGCAATTTGGGAGCTGTGGGCAGCCAGGAATGCTGTGCTTGGAGCTGCTGTGTTTGCTGGGCTGAGGCAAACAAGCCCTGGTGTGGGCACAGAGAGGCTCCAGTGTCAGCCCTGGCAGCTGGGATCAGCCCAGCACACTGCCAGGAAGTCAGAGGGGATTTTTTTTTTTGGGAGGGTTTGTGGTTGGTCAGGCAGACACTGCTCGTGCTGTCCTGCCCAGAGCAGCGATTTCCCTGCGTGCCTTTGTGCTCTGGTCATCCCTGTGGCCTCTCCTGGTGGAACCTGCCGGGAGAGCTGGGCAGTCCCTCCAAACAGGAAAGGCTGGACGGGGTAAATTAATCCGGGAGAGATTTACCAGAATCGTTCTCTGAAAAATAAGGACATTTCCAGCATGTTTTCCCTTCAAAAAAAAAAAAAAATATCCCTGCAAACTCATGCCTGGCTCTTCTGGAAGTTCCCCAAAGTGATTTGAAGCCAAGCTGAAGTTTTTCCTGGAGCAGGCACAGCCCCTGTGGCTCAGCCCTGTGTTCTCCTGCCCTGATTGTTGTGGCCTTTAGGAACAAAACTTTGTAATTCCTGTGTCCCACAGCAGCTCAGCGTGGGCTGGGCAGCTCCAGCTCCCTTCAGCCTTGGGATTAAATGAGCCATGGAAATGCCATGGGGTGGGGAAGGGGGATGGATCTTCCAGAACCTGCAGCAGGGCCAGGTCCAGTTCACCCCTCCAGTGCTGCATGGGAGACACTGGGATCCAGGGCAGACCCTGAAGGATCCTCTCTGCTGTGTTTGTCTCTCTAAAAACCAGCTTATTTCTGGATTTCTGTGCTTCTCAGAGGGGCTGATACAGGGATTTTAACAGCTCCGTGTCCTGAACTGAAATTCTTATTTCCTCTTTTTTTTTATCTTTTTTTTTTTTTTTTTGTCTTTTTTTAGTCTGTTGGGTTTTTTGTTTGTTTGTTTTTATTTTTTTCTCCCTGACTTCCCCCAGCAGCCTGGCTCTGGCTGTGGCCCTGGAGCCACTCTGTGGGCACTCCCCTCCACAGGGATCTTTGTTCCCTGCAGGAGCCACCAAGGCTGTGGAGCCCCACAGACTCCCAGTGTTGTATAACATCTTATATTAAGAAATCTGGCAGGAGCCCACGGGTCCTGCTCTGTGCAGCCAGCGAGCTGCTGAGCTCTGCAGAAATCTCCTTGTTTTCCTTCCCCCCCCCCAAAAAAAAAAAAAAAAAAAAGGCTTTTCTTCCTTTCTCCAGGAGCAGCCCTGTCCTGCAGGGCTAAAACTTCATTTCCAAAGCCAGGCTTGGGACAGGGTGATGGAGAGCTTGAGCTGGTGCCTGCTGCTGCCCCTGTGAGCTCTGGAGCCAGGCAGGTTGTGCACAGCCAAAAAATGACAATGTGGCTCTGCTGGAGTGGCTCTGGTGACAGCCAGCCCGTCCTGCTGGGCAGTGCCAGCCTGGTGCTCGCTGCTGGAGCCCTGGGTCCTGCCAGGAGGGGTTGGAATGAGGGATTCACCCTCTGGACACGCAGCAAAACCATCCCAGAGGCTCCTAAAAATAGCCTGGGGAGAGCTGAGCTCAGCTGCTCCTGGAGGGGCCCTAAAGGAGGCACAGCCTGAGCCTGGGTGAAGAATTCCAGGTTCTTCCCCCAGCAGGGAGCTCAGATCACACAGAATCCCAGAATTCAGGCTGGAAAATCTCTCCAGGATCATCGAGTCCAAGCTGTGCCACATCCCCACCTTGTCCCCAGCCCAGAGCCCAGAGTGTCACATCCTTGGGCACCTCCAGGGATGTGGGGACTCCAAACGTCCCTGGGTGACCTCGGGAGCCTCATCCTGCAGCAGGGACAGAGCTGGGATTGTGAAATAGCTGGGAGATCTTATCTGTGTCCCTGAGAGTCAGCTTGGCATGAAATCCCTGAGGGTTTGGGTTGCAGGGACCTTAAAGCTCGTCCCATTCCATGGCAGGGACACCTTTTCCCCATCCCAAACTGTTCCAAGCTCAACCCAGCCTGGCCTTGGACAATTTGGGATGGGGAGTCCACAGCCTGTGCCAGGGCCTCCCCAAGCTGTCAGAAACGTGAGGAGGATTTTTTTTTTTTTTAATGGAAAACACCTTCTCCCTTTGAGGAGAAATGATCCCACTTCCATCTCAGTCTTGCCTCCACTTTTTTTTTTTTTTTTTTTCCATTTGCCTCCAACGATTTCTCAAGTGCAGCTTGAATTTGGTGTTGCAGAGCACCAGGAAACTGTTGGCTCAGAAGGGTGGAAAAACAAACACAAAATAACAGAACTCCTTCCCCACAGGAAGTTGTCAGGCAGGCAGGTAGATTTAGATTTGTTGGTGGCTTTCCTTGTCCTGGAGAGGAATTTTTATCCCTGGTGAGGGTGGCACTGCCAGGGAGGGCTCTGGGAGGGCTGGAGCCTGGCACAGGTGACATTGGCAGGTGACATTGGCAGGTGACATTGAGCACATCCCCAGCTGGGATTCCTGTGCTCTGTGTCCTCCAGGGGTGGGAAACAGCAGAGACTTTGGGCACTGCCCATAAAAATGGGGCAGGGAGGTTTGGGTGTTTTTAAATGTGGCTGTGAGGGGTTTTGGAGTGGTTTTTGTGTTTTCAGCTGCTCCCCTGGAAGGCTGCTTACCCTGCAATTTGCAATTGCTCTTTGTTTTTTTCCTAAATAACCGTGGCTGCCTCTGTCCCTCCCTCTCCTCTGGAGAGGCAGAGGAGTTGGGAAATGCCCGAGTTAACACAAGGTAGCAGGGAAAGGTGGGCTGGGTTTTGGATCAAAAAAATAAATAAAAATATTTATGTTTGCAAGATACACTCATAGAAAAGGCTCTCAGCTGAGACTGACCAAACTTCAGCACTCAAATCTGCCAAAAACTGCAAGTATTGGGCAAAGCCTCTCCACGTTTCCCTGTTCTGGCCTCTGGGTGTGTAAACATTTTGTCACTGGTGACTCTTTGGGGGATTTTTCACTGAAAGTTGCTGGCTCAGAGCGGATTTTTTCAGCCCAGCAGGATCATGTGGTCACTGCTACAAATGTCAGGAGTGGGAAAAGCACTGCAGGATTCCAGATGTGGCAGCAGGGAGGGCACTGGGGCGTCTGCTCAGGGCAGTGCCAGGTGGCAGAGGTGACAATGAGGGGGTGACACTGAGCTCAGAGCAAAGGTTGGTCTCGACCACGGTTTTATTTCATGCTTTTATTTCATGTGCTTGAATCCTGCAGCACTGGGACGTCTTCAAATACGTGACTGAGGTGTTTATCCTGGTTCCTGCTCTGCTGGGCCTGAAGGGGAACCTGGAGATGACGCTGGCATCTCGCCTGTCCACTGCTGTGAGTGCCCGGGGCGCTGGGGAGGGAGGGCAAAACCTCCCTGGGGAGGGGCTGTGTGTGTGTGGGGCAGGTCAAATTCCCCAAAATCCCCTCTGGGGATGACAACGGGCACCAGAGCTGGGGTTCAGCCTGCTGGGAAGGTGTTCCCAGCCCGCTGGGCTGATGGGATTTGAAGGATTAATGATCCTTAAGCTTTGCTGACAGTTCAGTTCCTCGGGCTGGCTGCTGGGGCCCGGGGGCACAGGCTGGGAGCTGGGTGGGATCCAGCTTTTCCACCAGGAGCTGGGCACAGGAATGTCACCAGAGCAGGCTGGCAGGAGCCTGGGGACAGAGGGGAGCTGGCTGGGGGACTCCAAGGGATGGAGATCACAGCTGGGTGTTTCTCCTGCTGGAATCCACTCTGGTCCCTGGAAAACGGGGAGCTCCCTGTGCTCTGGACATCCCTGAAAATCCCAGGGCATCCCAGGGCATCCCTGAACATTCCTGGGCATTCCTGAGCGTCTCTGGGCATCTCTGAAAATCCCTGGGCGTCCCTGAACATCCCTGAGCATCCCTGGGCATCCCTGAACATTCCTGGGCGTCCCTGAACATCCCTGAGCATTCCTGGGCATTCCTGGGCATCTCTGAACATCCCTGGGCATTCCTGGGCATCTCTGAACATCCCTGGGCATCCCTGGGGGCTGGGGCAGGCTCTGGCAGCTCCCCAGAGCTCTGTGTGAGCCCAGGAATTGCTCTGTGTCTCAATGTTCTCCCCTGGAGCTGGGCAGGGCTGGAGAGGGACCCACACCCTGTCCTGGCAGGGACAAGGACACTCCTGACAAGGACAGGGACGCTCCCTCCTCTGTGAGGCATCTCCAGCCTGATGTCCCTGTGTCCCCATGGTGGGAGCTTGGCATCTTCCCCCTGCAAGGAGTTCTCTGCCTGCTGCCGAAATTTTAATTCCTCTGGGATGAGAATTCCTGATGGGAGCCCTCACAGGAGGCAACCAGGCCCTGGTCCTGGTCCTGGTCCTGGTCCTGGTCCTGGTCCTGGCCCTGGTCCTGGCCCTGGTCCTGCTCCTGCTCCTGCTCCTGGTCCTGGTCCTGCTCCTGGCAGTGCTGATGTTCCTCAGCCCAAGGAGCTGCTTGGGAAGTGCTCACTGATGGAGAATAAAATTCTGCTTGGCTCGTTCTGTGCTCTCAGCCCTGGCCTTGCTGCAGGAGGAGGCCCAGCAGAGCTGCAGGGTTGGTTTCTGTCTGGATCTGCTCTGCCAGCTCCTCTCCTCTCCTCCCGGGGGAGGTTGGTGCCGTGGCTCTGCTGCTCTGGCAGGACAGAGGCTGAGCTTTGTTCACCCCTTCGCTCTGGGAAACAAATCCCTTTGTCTGACTGCCTCAAACGAAGGGATCAGGGCAGGGTCCCTGCTGTCCCAGCCACGGGGACCTTCTCCCTGCTGGCCCTGGCCACCCTCTGGGCTGCTCTGGGGCAGTGCAGGGACAGGGGCAGTGTTGGTCCCTTCCTGGGGGCAGCTTTGGCACAGGAACGAGGCTGTGGGAAGTCAGGAATGCAGAACTTTGCCCTGCTGGCTGCAGGAGGGGACACCAGCACAGGGACACCCCCAGCTCCTGTCCCCGAGCTGCCCCTGGGCTGGCATCAGCCAGGCTTTGGCCTCTGCCTGCCCTCCTTAAAATCATGGAATCATTAAAGCTGCCGAGCACCTCCAGGATCATCCAGGGACCTCCGTGTGCCTGTGCTGGTGGGACAGGAGCATCTCTGCTCCCAGGGGTGTGCAGGGAGCTCCCTCCCCCTGCCCAGAGCTGCCCCGGGTGGATCCTGAGCTCTGTGCACAGGGGAGCAGCCTGCACTGGTTCCTCAGACTCCGGGTTTCTAATTAGCGCTGCTTTAAGGCACCTCAGAAATTCCTTTCACAATTAAGAGGCAGAACTCTCCCCCATTAGTTAGAGGATTAAGTGCCTACAGCGAGGTTGTGTTAATCCCAGCCTAATTGCCATGTGGCTGGAATTTTAAGGTCAGGCTTCATATGGAGCTCAGATTCCTGTGCTGCTCCACTCAATTTTTGTTGGTTTTCCTCCATTCCTTCCTCCTCCCTGCCCAGAAGGATTTGCCCCAGAGCTGGGGGCTCTCAAGCACATCCAGCAAGGAGAGCAGGGGGATTAATTAATCAATGATTTCTGGTTTTCTTGTTTGCTTTTCCACCTGAGAGGAGGAAAATTGCTGCTGTGCACGAGTTTGGTGCTGTCAGGCAGCACCTCTGACCTGCATTTCCCACTCCAGTGCAGGAGCCTGTCTCTTTTTCCCTGAGCTCATCAGCTCCTAATGATGCAAATGGGATAGAAACTTATCCAGGAGGATAAAGGGAGCAGAGCTCGTGCCCTGCAGCGATTCCTCTGGGTTAGTTTGGATCCTACACCAGGAATTAAAGCAATTTCCATCTCCTGGTCACCCAGGTGACCCCTGTGCCACTGCTGCCTGCTCCTCTGCGTGTCCCCACGTGGCACCAGCCTTGTTTGCTCAGCTTTTTCCAGGCCAGGAGGGCACAGAGCAGGGCACAGAGCTGACCTGAGGGGCAGCTTGACCCAGCTGGGCCCCCCAGGCGTGGCTGGGTCAGCAGAGCAGTGAATTCCATCAGGAATGCACTGAGGGGCTGCAGGGGCACGGGGAGGTCTCGCTGCTTTTGCACCATTCCCAGCAGATTTTTTTTTTTTTTGGTTGGTGTTGATTCCCCTCCACACTCCCCTTTCCTGCTGAATTCTGCTCCTGTAGGAGCTGAGGGTTTGAGGTTCTCAGCTGCTCCTGGCAGCAGGGATTTGGCTGTTAGCAGCTGTGAGGTGCTGTCAGGCTTTAGTGGTGTCTCCTTTGCTCCTCCAGGCTAATATTGGCCAAATGGATACACCCAAAGAGCTCTGGAAGATGATTACAGGGAACATGGCTCTCATACAGGTAAGGAGAGGGAAGGGGAATATTTGCAGCTGGGGCAAGCCCAGCTTTGGCCGGGTTTAAATGCCCGGGTTCTGCTGTTTGCTGTCAATATTCTGTGTCTGATGGGGAGGCGAGTGGCACCTTTGTGGCCCTGCAGGTTGGACTGGGTGTTTCCATGCTGGATTCTGAGCCCCCTGGGTGGGGGATGATAGAATAAAATCCTGGAATTATTTGGGTTGGAAGGGACCTCAAAGCTCATCCATTTCCCATGGACACCTCCCCCTTATCCCAGGCTGCTCCAACCTGGCCTTGGGCACTTGCAGGGATGAGACAGCCACGGATTCTCTGGGCAGCCTCTCCCCACAGCCTGGGACTGTTTTGGTGTCTTGGTGAGCCTCTTGCTTTCCATTTCCAGGTCCAGGCCACCGTGGTTGGCTTCCTGGCCTCGATTGCAGCCGTGGTGTTTGGGTGGATCCCCGATGGGCACTTCAGCATGGACCACGCCGTGCTGCTGTGTGCCAGCAGCGTGGCCACTGCCTTCATTGCTTCCCTGGTCCTGGGTGAGAGCCACCCCCTCTCTCTCTTCCTAGAATATTTCCCTCCCCTCATGGCCTTATCATGGAGGTTTTTATCCCCTCGTTCTGGCTGCAGGCATGATCATGATCGGGGTGATCATTGGCTCCAGGAAGATGGGGATCAATCCTGACAACGTGGCCACGCCGATTGCTGCCAGCCTGGGGGACCTCATCACGCTGGCTCTGCTCTCAGGGATCAGCTGGGGCTTGTACAAGGAGCTGGGTGAGGAGAAACAAAGAGCCTTTGTCTCTGCCTGCTCCTTGCTGTGTCCTCCCTCTCATTTCAGCCCTCTCTGTGCTTGGGCTCTGAGGGATTCCTGCTCTGGAGCTCCCTAGTGCAGGTTAGGGCAGGGGATGGATCTGCTCACTGCCTTGTGCAGCTCCTGCTCTCCAGGTGAGGTGCTCAGGGAGGGCTTGGCCCCTTCCAGGTGCTTGGCTGGGGCTGGAGCAGTGGGATTTGGCAGATTGGGATTCCAGCTCCAGCTGGGGATCCTCAGGGCAGGGCTGCAGCTGGACACTCCCAATTTCCTCCTCCTTCCTCCTCCTCTTCCTCCTTCCTTCCCTGGGACACGGGGCTGGGACTCAGCCAGGTCCATCCAGGGGTGAAGGGAGCAGCCCTGGGAGATCCTGCCCAGGCTGGGGGTGAGGATGAGCAGCTGGAATTGAAGAGATCTCACTCAGATGTGGAAAACAGATCCCGGTGTTTCCCTTTCCCCCCTGCCCCGTGAGAAGGAACCACCACAGAGTCCAGGCTGGCCTGGCCCAACTTTCCCTGCCTTTCCTGCAGCTCCTGAGGGCCGTGGCTTTTTATTTCTTTCCTTTTCTTCTTCCCTTTCCCCCACCCCAGAGAGCAAAGCCTACGTGAACCCCTTGGTGTGCGCCTTCTTCATCTCCCTGCTGCCCCTGTGGATCGTGGTGGCCAAGAGGAATTCAGCCACGAGGGAGGTGCTGTACTCGGGCTGGGAGCCTGTCATCATCGCCATGGCCATCAGCAGGTGGGGCTGTCCCTGTCCCCAAACCCTCCCCCGGGCTTATCCCAGCCCTGACCACCTCCCCCGTCTCCCCCTGCAGCGTTGGGGGGCTGATTTTGGACAGGACGGTGTCGGATCCCAACTTTGCCGGCATGGCCGTTTTCACACCCGTCATCAATGGTGAGTCCTGGGCTGCCCTGCCCTGGGGCTGCAGCTCCTGGCAGGCTGGCATTGGCTGGGATTGCAGGACAATCGTTCTTTTTTGGGGTGCCAAAATTATTCCTTTGGAGAAGTAGTTATTCCCTTAGA